TGTAGACATGAAAAAAATAAGGTGGTGTGGCATTCTGCAAGTAATTTTGTTCACAATTTTCTGTAATAGAGTTTCATCGCAAATATTAATTTTTAGAAAGTGGGTTTTTGTGCAGTAATTTGTTTTACCCTTTCTAGAAAATTGCTCTGGCATATTTGGTAGTGGCATTAATAGAAATCTTAACCCAAACACCTGGAAAAGAAGTGAACAAAAAAAAGAAAAAAAGAAAAAAAAAGAACCTTCGACATGAGGCAAGGTGAATATCATCTTCCTAAAACAGATATGCTTCCATGTAGAAGTGGAAGATCTATGTCAATCAAACTAAACAAAGAAATTTAGGTAAAATGGACTCTACATCTAGTGAGAAATTTTTTTAACTTCTATTGAGCAATTCACCAAAGGAAAAATGCAAGTAATTTGTCCAGAGGAGAAGTCAAAGCAAACAAAGAGGAGTGAAGTTTTACTCCATAAAATACTAGTCAAAAACAAAAACCAAAATTATGAATTATTTATTTATTTTTTTTAAATTTGAAACAAGTTTGACAAAAATAAACACCAAAAAAATGTTTTCAATTTTTAAAAATTATTTCAGCCCCAAAAAACATAAAACCATATAAAAGTATTAGTTCAGAAAATTGATTTTAAAAACCAAACCAAACAAAGTTGTACACTTGCAAAAGTTATTCTAGAAGTCTCGTTAGGGGCCACTTACCAAAAGTACAAAACAATTATTAGAAAGTCAAATAGATTTTCAATTAAAAAGCTCAACTGATAAATATCCAATGATTACTTCCACATAGGGAAGTAAAAGAGAGGATACGGCTGCTAAACCTGAAAACCAGTTAAACTTCAATCAACTTTTATTTTAGCAATGGACATGGAAAAAAATTCGATGGGTGGTGGTAATGACAAATGCTGCGCAACTATGTTGCTAGAGAAAAGCTTATATGGAAGCCCCATGCCTATAGATGTTCGAGTATAACTACAATCAAGTGTCTGCGAGTTGGAACAATAATCTATCAATGCATAAGAAAATTGTTCCTTGAGTTATTGGTGCATACTACTCCTGTTATTCTTGCTCCCTTATTATGCTTATTAGCAATGCCACAGACAACATGCCACGACATGGATATCCCATATTGGTAAGACATTCAGACAACATTCCCTGACATGGATATCCCATATCTGTGAGATACTCATGCAAGTAGGAACCACTTATATAGACCTTTAGATTAGTAGCAAAGGTAAAGCTACAGTGAATGAGATATGTATATATTGTAAGATGATATACTCCGTAAGTAACCATAATGTTCCTAATAAAGAAGGACAATGGTAGTAGAGGACCAAGGTCCAAGGATGTTTTGGAATATGCCTGCATGGACCTTGTATATGTATTCATGCATAAATATCTTACATATATTTAGTTACAAACTTACAATACGTATAAGGTTATTAACAATATGCTTTCATTTGCCAATATAGAATCATTAATTTGTGTAGTACATGTATTTAAGTTTCATACGTGGCGAGCAACGTCATCATTAGGGAGTGGCCTCAAACCACTCTTTTACATGATAAGGCGTGATTTTAATATTTGCTCAGTGCTCTGCTCAACCAGTTTCGCACACCTAGCTCCACTCGCTAGCCTACCTCATTGTCTCACCTAACCATTGTAAGCTATGATTGGAAGGGCACCATGCTGCCATGCCAATCTAGGTCAAGGGTAGGTCCTATGAACCCCCTCAGGTTGGTGTCTCAATCATGGGATGCTCGAGGAATCTATCACCTTGTGCAGGATCACTAGGTACTTGTGGAATGGGGGCTAAAGTTGGGGATCACTTTAATATTATCCCCAATTGTTTAACGTCCCATCCCAAACCTTAATAATATTATCTATTTTGGGCTAAGGCCTCACAACTTTAAAACACGTTATTTTTGGGAGGGGAGAGCAAGCTAACCCCAATGACTCACCTCCTATAAAAGAAGGCCTCCACTTACAGTAAGCTCATAGGCCTCTCTCTCTTTTTGTCATTCTCCCTCTCTACTTTTAAGGCTACCTCAATGCTCTCCCATCCATCTTTGGTGGTCCTGTGCCATCTAAGTGCCATTAAATTAAAGTTCCACTGAGCACACTCTTAGTCTCATAATCAACCCTGAATAGCTGGTTCTAGAGCTTCCGACCAAGAGCCCTGGCCCTCTGAGCTCTTGAAGGTAGGCTGTTTTTTTGTCCTTTATGCCCTATTTAATAGAAGTATAGATTGCCCGAAGGCTTTTTTATCCTACAAGGCGTAGCCTTAACCTCTATTATTAGAATCTTATGATTCACAATTCATTCATAAGTCAATATGAATCTATGAGTGAATTTATTTTGGGATAGAATCTATGGTAAATCACACGATTCACAATTCGATTCACTTTTCATGATTCATACAATTCTTGAAACTATTGTTTCTAACAAATCCGACCCTTTTTTCTTTTTTTTTTTTGCTGTGAAAATGACATAATACAACTTTTAAGAGTGTTCAGCACGAAATTAACCAATAGCTATGTATGATTTGTTATTATTTTGGTGATTATAAGGTTTTAATAGGATTCAATTAGATACAGTCAGACTTGACATATTCTTAACTTTTTTTCTCATTTTTTCCTCAAAATAATATGTTTTATATATATTACATTTTCTAATAATGTTTGAGGTCTTCGGTAGGGGGACCCTTTGTCTCCCTTGCTATTTATCTTAGCGATGGTATATATATATATATATACATATATAATTCACTCCACCATTGAAAAATAAAAGTTTACTTGAGATTATTGTTTGAAAAAAAAATTCTTTAAAACATAATTTTTTTTAGATCATCAGACCACTTGGTCTGTCTCTCTTTCCAGCCTTTTCATTCTCTCATCTCTCTCTCATTTGTGCTCACCCAATCCAGAACCTTCTCATCACCGACCCCCTCACTCTATCTCATCAACGACTGTGAGAGTCTTTCTCCCAATCCAGAACCTTCTCTTTTCGTCGCCGATCCCCTTCACTTTCTCTCTTCTCGTTGTCGATCAATCTCTCATAGTCGACATCATACCCCCCTCTTTCTCTCCATCTCTTTCATCTCTCTTCGGTGAACATCAGTTGACGAGGATCTAACATCACAAACCCCTCTTCGATGAACATCAGTCGACGAGATCAAAGATCACAAACCCTCATCGCAAATCGCAACCCTGTTTATAGATCACATATTACAGGCCCAAACTCGCAAGCATATTGAAATATAGGTATTTCTTGTTTAAAATTTACTTTAGATTTTGGAATCTTTGCTTGAGATTGTTGTTGTTTGGTTGAGATTTGTTGAAATTTTTTTGAGATTATCAATAATTTTTTTGAAATTGATTAATGCTGTTGTTTTCGGTGAATTTGATTTTTTTTTAAATAAAAAAAGTTTGTATGATCTGTTTAAAACAGATCCAAAAAAAAAAAAATTTGTTTAAAGAATTTTGTTGTTAATTTGGTGAAATTTGTTTTAAAAAAAATTAACTATGTTTCAATTGACAAGGTGTGCCAAGATGCATTTGATTTGATCCTATGCCTGTGAATTAATAGACAATGTGATTTATAGGCAACAAGCTCATCCTCAATTAAATGTTCAGGTTCAATCCTTAGAAATAGAAATTGAAGATGACCGTTATGTGGGTATGCCATTTGTCCTTGTGTCAGGTGGGAAGTGGATAAAGAATGATGGTTTAGACTTCTATGTTAAATTTGATACTGGATACAAGCAGGCGCAAAAGGTTGCTTTCAGTTATAGGTTTCTTTTTCTTATTTGTCATCCCACAACATTTTTCATATATATTGATTAGGCATTGTTTTCCTGAAAAGGATGCTAGTGATGGCCAAGGTACTCCAAAGACATTGTTGGATAAAATAGCCAATATGGAAAGCGAGGCACAAAAGTCATTTATGCACCGGTCAGTAATCTTTGGATACTTTGATAGTCTTTTGTTTTGTTTTGTTTTTTTTTTTTTTAATGCCTTACCTTCTGGTATCTTAGGTCAATTGTATGTATGGTTAGTTTCAGTGTAGTATTATGATTTGAGGAAATGAGTGTTTGGCTTTAATAATAGAACTTAGCCTTTAATGTTTGCTTTTTCACATTTGTTCTGTTAATGTGCATATGTTGCGCCTGTGTGTTGTGAGCATTGCTTCTAGAAATACGTTAGTTGAGTAAGCCTAGGTAGTCTATGAGTATTTTGTAGTTTCATCTTTTGCTATTTCATGGATGCTGTAAAATTTAGATTGTTTTCAGTATCTTGCATAATAAACCAGATGTGGTAGTTAATTTCAAGTGCGGTAGTGTAGGCTTCAAGAATGGAGGGCTTGGACTGGACTTAATAGATTTTAATCTTTTATGTTGTGCTTTTTGGGGCAGAAATATGATAGCTTTAACTTTATTTTGGTCATCTTTGGTTTCAGACCATTTCATCCTCACAAAAATTATGCTTTTATGGTTTTAATGTGGCTCAACCCTGCATGTGTAATAAATGCTCACTGTAGGAGCAATAACCACTAGGACAGTTAAAATGCTTTATACCTGGTTTGATTCTACACTATTTCTTCTGTCATCTTTCAAGTAATTTTTGTTTTTGGCTCATCTTGATTGTGGCTTATGATGAAATGGCTGTTATTGTTGGTATATATACAATCTGTCATGCATGGAACTTCAACTAATATTTTTGGTTTTATTTGCTAAATCATGTTTGGGGTGCAGATTTGGTTCATTGTTATTGAAGTTGTAAGTGTCAGCAATAATCACTTGCATCAGTCTGAAGAACTTAAATCAACTAGGCATTACTTAGAAGGCTCCTGGGTGGCAAGGTAATGAATAGAGTAGTTATCGGATTTGAAATTTCAAATTTCACCAAAAATTGAGACAAAAATTACGCATTGTTTTGATACATGGCTTGTTTAATAATCGAGTCAAGTTTGAGTAGAGAGCTTGGTTTCTCTCTCTCTCTCGTTCTTGCTCTCTGTCTCGCTCTTGCTCTCGCTCACATGCCCATTAGAACTCCACCCGTATGAATCTCTCCCTCAATCTCTCAATCTCTCTGTTTCTGTCTCGATGTCTCAATCTCTCTTCCTCTCTTGATCTCTCAATCTCTCTTTCGTATGATCTTGCTCGCTCTCTGTATCTGTGTACATCTCTCGCAGCGATTTGCGCGATTCATCAGTATCAGGTTGTAGGGAGAGCTCTTCCTATGGAGACCGATCAGCATCCGAAGATCTACCGCATGAAGCTCTGGGCCACCAACGAGGTTCGGGCCAAGTCCAAGTTCTGGTATGTATATGTAGATATATATGTATGTATGAGGTTTGAGTATATTATTTTCGATTCCAATTGTGTTTTGGTTAAATTTCTAAGGTATTTTCTGAGGAAGCTTAAGAAGGTGAAGAAAAGCAATGGTCAAATGCTCGCTATCAATGAGGCATATGTCTATCTATCTCATAGAGTAAATTACTTTCTAGGGTTTTGAATATAATCAATTCATGTTTTGATTAGTGCCTATTAATTAGTTTGTTGGTTCTAGGTAACAAAAGAACAACAATTTAAGCAGAGCTTGTGGTCTTAGTGATAGTAGATTGTTTCTGGTTGTGTTTTATTCTATAATGGGGTTTGATTCTTTTGATTTTTTGTTTTCACTCTCATTATGTGTTTTTCGTGGAAATACAATTCTATATTTCAGTGCATTATCTCCAATGGCTTATTCTGAGAATTTTCAATAACAAACTTTATGCGCTGCATTTTCTTAATGAAGTAATAGTACCTGATTTTGCAACTTTTTGAGTAGATATCTCTTGTTTCCAAGGATTGTTCTTTTGTCCTGAAGCAGCTTCTTTGCTGCTCCACAACTTTTGCATTTTCCATATTAGTCCTCCTAGCCCCGAGGTCTGTGAATTGGTTGATTTTTCTGCATTTGTATGATTCTATTATTCTTATTTCATGAATTTTTGTTTTGAACTTTTTTGCGTCTGTTCTACTGAATGCTATTATTCACGTAAGACACATTTCATTAGACGTTTAGGTGAGCTTTTTTAGAATGCCATCATTTCTATTGGCCTTCTGTTGCATTTTTCTGCTAATGTTTGTGGAAAACTAGAAATATACTCGTTAAACTAGAAATATACTTGGTAGTTTATTTATTTACTTGACAGGTCCTAGACGAAATTAGAGTTGATGTTGCCTCTCAGGTTAGTATTCATAGGAGTATTTTTATGAATTTATCTTGTTAGTTGATTCTATTTTTCATGTATTAAATTGGTTTTAAATTTAACTTGCACTCTTGACAGTTATCAGCGGGCATCCAAAGGAAGAATAGCTGGAAAGAAGACCGAGGATGCTAACAGGTATCTTACTGTTTCTTCATGGATTCATATTCCTAGTTTCTATTTTGATTCTTACTTCTGCTATTTCGAGTCTTTGGAAATCTTTTTATAAGATAACTACAGATAAAATAAAAAATTCAAATTATTTTAACAAATAAACTAGTTTTGCTGCTAGATACAGCTCATGGAGAGCCAAGTGTGGATTCTGTTCACGTTTTGCTTAAGCAAGTGCGACATGCCAATGATTGAGCACTAATCTTAAATTTCTTATATACCCAAGATGATAAGGTTCTTCCTTAGTCCATTTTCTTTGGTTACATGTCTAATGATGTGAAGGTATGACTCATCTAATGCTAATCTTAAGTCTGCTCAATAAGGCTCAATATCAGATACTTGGTGTTGAATCTTGTACGACCAATCCACCTATCTAATTTCCAATTGATCATTAATCAACAGTGTTTTTCCTGTTTCCTTAATCCACATGCTTTCTCAGCTTCCCCTCACCCTTACAAGTCCCTTGACCTTAATCATATCACTCCTCAAAAACCAGCAAATACCCTTGATTTATCCTGACCAAACTACTTTCAACTTCACCACTGCTTCTCCCAATGAGATGAGTCTGGTGACCTCCAAAAAATACATTTATAGTTCATTTTACTGAACCGTCTTTTATTTTACCACTCGTTAAGCGCTCTGTAATATTTTGAACTTCAGTTTATGAAAAAAGTTTACTTTTTGGTCACTTGGCACTATGAATTCTGGAGGCATGCTATGTTGTGGTTGTCCAACAATTTCTACTCAATTTGATACATAAATGTCAATCACACAACATTCCAAAGGTACTCCTTTTCAATATGTACATCATTTTCATATACTTAATTTTGTATGTTAGAATGCTGTTGGTTTTTATTGGTTGTTAATTGCTTGGAGTATGTTGTTATTTTAAAAAATTTACAGTTTACCCATGGGTCAAATATTGTTATTTGAGTCTCATATGGAGTCTTTATTAGTTATAGAATATTGTAAATTTGTAACAAGTCAAAGCTTCTTAACTTTTCTTAATTTTGGAATCATGGTCCTAATAGAATTAGGAGAACCTAGCACTCTATAAATACGTATATATCTGTTCTATGGAGTTCTCTTGAAATTTGATGTAAAACATTTGTCACTTTGAGTGATGCTTTGTGAAACCTTACCTTAGGGGGTTATTCCTCCTCTTCTTTATTCACAAAACATTTACTCCTGGGTTACTATTCACAGCCCCAAAACAGTGCAAATTTCAGGCACAAGAACCTTACCTAATCAAGCCTAAATTGCCACCAACCATTGTCCTTGCCTTTCAGCTTTTATTGTCACACCAAAATATCATAAAATAAAGCTTTCCTGGAACATTTTGGGACTACTTCTTAAGACCCAACAACCAAATACTTCTGAAAATCAAGCCAATTGTCAACCTTTTTCCATCTAAAACAGTCAAAGCTGCCCTCCACCTTTTAGAACTCTAAGCTTAGAAACTTTCCACAGCTAAAAGCCCACCACTAGATACATCATATGTAGTGACCCTTTGTTTCTAAGGCTGTCCCCCTAGTTCTATTGTTCCCCTTTTTCTTCTTCTTTCCTCCTTGTTGAATGAAGCATCTTTAAATCATAATTGCACACACGTGCATGACTAGTTGTAGAGAATAACTCTAAGCCTAGAAACTTTCCACAGTTAAAAACTCACCACTAGATACATCATATGTAGTAACCCTTTGTTTCTAAGGCTGTCCCCCTAGTTCTATTGTTCCCCTTTTTCTTCTTCTTTCCTCCTTGTTGAATGAAGCATCTTTAAATCATAATTGCACACACGTGCATGACTAGTTGTAGAGAATAAAGCCCATAGCATTGATTATCAAGTCTTGAGCCTCTTTGAAGTGAAAAGTCATCAAAGACTCAAAAATATTAGGCATGGGGCAACTAAGCAGTCAGCTTAGCTGAATAATTAAAGAAGTGCAAGTATTAGACCAGAAACTAAGGAAGAGCTAGGTTATTTTAGTGAAGGTTAGTATCATTTTCGGATAGCTGTGGAAATAGTTGTAATATGTAATAAGAAGCGAAATCTCGTAATAATTCAGAAACGCTACATATTTTTTAGTTTCACTAATAACTGCAAACTTTCATACTTGAGAGGGAAATGCCTTGAAAATCATACTTGAGGACATTCAACATTAAATTTATTCAAGATGTCTGTTACACAATGCCAATTATGTTAGAATCTAGCTTGAACACTAGGAAACTTGGTGACCAAAGAAACCTGAAAGCTATGTGTTTTGATGTTTTGCCTCGTTGAGGTTAAAAATAAAATAGGAAAATATTTAGATTTAAATAAAAATGCTGATTAGTTTGTGTGAAACAGGTTCTGTGATTTTTTCTGGTTCTTGTTGACATTAGTGCTAGTGATACATGGTATTCCTGCACTCTTTTGGAAAAGTTAAATTTTGTACAATTGTATACATTTCACTTTCTTTCTGTTTTTATGTTTTTTTTTTATTTTTTATTTTTTTCATGTGGTACTTAATCAACAAAACTTCTATTTGAAATGATGTAGGACTCCTTGAAAGTGACAGTTCTTGGGATTTCTTGGAAATAGCTTTGCTTGTATGCTTATGTGCAGTTCATAACCATGGTTTTGAAATGTTATTTTCATTCTCGGCAATAGTGCAGCATGCCCCTTGCCTTCCATTTGGATTTAGCATCTTGAAAGCTGGTTTGAATAAATCAGTTCTATTGTCAGTTTATGCCTCATCAACCATCAGAGACAGTCATACCGATGGTTCTTATGGTATGACTTTATTCGAAGTTTCACGGACTATTTTGGAATGACTTTTTATCTTTATCTTTGTCTTTGACTTCAGTCGGCAATTTTATTTAAAGATTTGGTATCATTTTCACCACAAAATGTTTGTTCCAATGAAGTTGAAATATTACTTGGTATATCAAAAACTGAAAAGGGTGGTTGTTAGACTTGAAGTTGAAATATTACTTGGTATATCAAAAACTGAAAAGGGTGGTTGTTAGACTTGAAGTTGAAATATTACTTGGTATATCAAAAACTGAAAAGGGTGGTTGTTAGACTTGAAGTTGAAATATTACTTGGTATATCAAAAACTGAAAAGGGTGGTTGTTAGACTTGAAGTTGAAATATTACTTGGTATATCTATCTATACATAATGCTATAATGAGTTACTGAGCACTTACACTAGCCAAGAGGCATGTCAATGATTGCATTTGGTTTCTTCCCACTGAGTCCCCAACAAAGGCCAAAGTCTTACCTCTAACAAGCTCCAAGAACTGAACTGCGTTGAAGTGAGGTAACTCACATTCATCTGTTTTTTTAAAGGTTACAACATGATTTTTCATGTTAATATAATCATGATTTGTCCAATGAAGCTATAGCATGCCAAATTGGCATCAATTTAACACTATGGTTACCATTTGAATATGAAGCGTCTACACCTAGCAATTTAACACTATGGTATAAGTTTATTGAGGCGATTAATAATTTGTTTAAACTTAGCTTGACTTGTTTATATGAAGAGCTAATATTGAACGAGTTTTTAACGAATTGATATTGAACTAGTTTTTTCGGGAGTATGAATTTGCTTGTCTATGTATGAATATCCCACAATCTTGTTCAAATTCTTTTCTATATTTGTCATACTTGTATTAGGTTGCCATGTTTTTCTGTTTACCGTGTGTTATTTATCGTGGTATGCTAATTCTTTCAGATATCCAGTGACGAAGCTGTAGAAACAGTGCAACAAATGATTCCTTTCTGTGATATCAGAACCATTGTTTGTGATTAATTCAAAACATAATGATCATTGTTATAGCATCATTTTATTAATCAAAATGGAGTTTTGGAATTTCTTGAATGAGTTGTAAAAAACCCAACCATGGTTTGGAAGCCATGGCCATACAACTTTGTGGAAAAAAAGAAGGTGGTTTTAGACCAAGCCAAAGCATCCTGATCACCTTGATTGATTTCTAAATCCTAATGCAGACCAAAGAATGCTTCCATAGATTGGACTGCCCAATCCTCCAAAGCTCTCTGAAACCGGGGATTTCATACCGTACAACTCTCAGACACATCTAAGTAATTCTCTACAGATGCATTGGTGTCGATTGCTAACAGCAAAAAAACTGGGAAAATCTCCGTAAGAGGTGAATGACCACACCATGGTTCAAGTCAAAACCTCACTCTTCTCATATTACCCACCTTGCGAGATGTAATTTATGAAACCTAAGGGGGGAATGTGTAATTTAACTAAACTTCAAGAGGGTGTAGATAATTTGTCCTAAGATTTAATGAGTAATAAGTCACAAAAATATGACCAATGGATAATTTATCCCAATTTGAATTGTACATAAGACCATCTCTTATCATTTATCAATTTGTCCATCAAATTTTATTATGAATTTGGGTAAAAAAACATAGGTAGTATTTGGTTTAATTTTTAAATTAACTTTTAGATTAAAAAATTAAAAAAATATATTTGGCTTAGGAGTGAGCAGCGAATATATTGATCTGCCCAAACCGACTGAACTGAACCGATCCGATCCTCTGTATTTTGGACAGATACGTGATGACGAGCGGACGGTTGTGAATTGATTTTTTTTGAATTCTCCTAGTTTTGGACGGATGGCAGATTTGAGGTTCCTTTGGCTGCAACCGAACCGCCAAACTGTAGCACCCCTAGTAATTTGTAAAATTTTGTGTTTTCAATTTGTTTAGATATTCTATTTGTATTTTCAATTGAAAAAGAGTTTAAATATTCTGTTGAATATATTCTGTTGATAAAAAGTTTTCAACTTTAATATATTTTTTGAATTAAAAAAAATAAATGTATTATTTATCTATGTTTTTTGGTTTTTAAATCGAACTCTAAGAACAAAAAATAAAAAAGATGATATATGATGGTTGGTTTTTGTTTTCAAAAACAGATATAGATGTAACCATACAGAGGTATGCAATCTCTAGTACTACTATGTTCATGGTTTTTGTGGTTTGAATTATTTTTATATTTTAAGAATCACATATTATAATATTTTATGCGGATGAGGCGTGCTGTGATTGTAATATGTGAATGAGGCATGCAGTGATTGTAATATTCTAAAATTTCAAACCTTCTTTCTTTGGAGGAGACATGGAATGCTTGTAAAACCTTTTTAAGTCATTAACTGTAATACTTTTTTTTTTTTTAGGAAGTTCGTAAGTTGAATTATATTGAAAATTTATAAAATTTTAAACCGTTAAACCAATTCGCATCCATCCGCTAATCCACCAATCCGCTCAATTCACATCCGCCGAATTGACAAATGGATGCGAATTGATTTTCTCCAATCCGCCAATCTAACGGACATATGGCGGATTGGAGTTTTTGTGGCCGCAACCGACCCGCGCTCACTCCTGGTTTATCATTTTTCAAAATTATTTTTTTCTCTCTCCTCTCTTCTTCTTCTTCTCTTTTTTTTTTTCACAAATTAATCAATCAAACAATTTTTCTCTACACCCATCTATTCAACTACAAAAAAAAAAATAAAAAATACAAATCATTCCAAAAATATTTTCAAAACTCATAAGCAAACAAGTTTTTAATTTTGAAAATCTTTTTAAACACTTAGGTAGCGTTGGTAACGTTTACGTTTTTGGTTTATGTTTACAAAAATTTTATAAACTGATTTTTGTTTATTTTTAGAAAAACATAAATTAAAAACGCGTTTGGTTTGAACAAAATGTTTTAAAAAAATTTAAAACATAAACTAAAAAATCTGTTTGTTCAGACCTAAAATATTTATATCTATTTTTATTATTTCTGACAATAGGATCAAACACATTATAATTGAAAAAAATTAACTGGAAAAAAAATTTATTAAAAAAAATATTTGAAAAAAAAATTAATTAAAAAATTTATTTTAAAAAAAAATAATTGAAAAAAAAATTAATTGAAAAGAAAATAATTGAAAAAAAAAATTATTTGAAAATAAAATTATTTGAAAAAAAATTATTTGAAAATAAAATTATTTGACAAAAAAATTATTTGAAAAAAAATTATTTAAAAAAATAATTGAAAATAAATTATTTGAAAAAAATATTAATTGAAAAAAAAAACTGAAAACATAAACTCATTTTTTAAGTTTACGTTTTTTCCTCAAATTTATAAACTGAGACAATCATTTATATATCAAAAAAATTATCAAACAAGTTTTTATAACAGTTTTTTAAATTTTTATAAATATAAACTAAAAACGAAGTGCTTACCAAACAAGCCCTTATCTTTCAAAATATAATTAAAACTCAAAACTCCTTTTAAAAACTAAACCAAACAGAGCCTTAATTTGATATGAACTATTTCAATCATTTCATTAAATTTTCATTAAAATCTTTTTAAAAATTTCTCTATTGTCCCAAATTTCACTTTTTATCAAATTTGATTAAAGAAAATTATCTCCAATACTTCATCTTTTTATCAAATTCAAATATGATAAAAAAAAAATTGATAGTTAATTTGATGAAAAAATGATTCTCTCTTGATTTGATGGAAGGATTTGAGACGATTTTAAAGCATTTTTTTAGTATCAAATTTTAATTTGATATAAAAAAAAAGAAAAGAAAAAAAAAGTGAAGATTATAGATGCTCTAATAATGCATTAACTAATTACTAGTACTTTAAAAAAAAGAAAAAGAAAAATCCCCCAATAAACACCTGATGGCGAAATGTCCTTATAAATTCTCTCCCCAGGGTCGCAGCCATTATCTACACAATAATGAAATTTGATTAGTGATAATTTATTAGAAAGTTTCGTTGCTAAATGTAAATACATTCATATAGAACTGCATACCATTTGAGTCAAACTTGAACTTCCAGGAAGTAATTCTACCATGATTCTCAATACATCCACATCAAACCCATTCAATGGTGGAACAAACCTATAAATTAATCATATAGTACTTTTTAAAATGAAATTTCAGAATTCATGTAAATATATCTATGTAGGCTACGGCATACAAACACAATAGTAGATTGAACTTAAACTTTCAAAAGGATGGTATCTCCTAATAAAACATTCAGAGATTTGCAATGCTCTGGATTTAAAGATATGTGGCCCATTGCAACTTTCTCATCCGTTGTATTCTTTATTAGTTAAGGTATAGCAGCAATACTCAAAATTTAAACCAAAAAAACAAAAACAACCCAAATCTCTGTTTTCGATTTTTCACCACAATTTTGAATAAAATTGTTTTTCTATGAGATTAAAAAACAAACAAACAAATAGACCAACAAACAAACGAATCAAGTTAGTCTAATAGCCGTGGAAAAACGCAAAAACTCTCAACTCTTTTGAGGATATTGAATGGAAAATACCATCGTGCTATTGACAAGAGCAAGGCAGAGCTTCTTTCTTGTAGTGAAAGGCCATGAAGGTCCTTGTCGAAGGCTCACAACAAATTGGTTTAGATCGTCTGGACAACAGTAACATGAATTGGTGAAACATTGCTCTGTAGTGGTATTCTGTACTATTAGTGTCCAACGAATTACCAAAATGGAGATCCCACTCTTCCACTCCACCAACACCACTAGGTAGTGGAAGGGGTAGGTGGTGGCCAATAAGCTCCTCCCTCAATTGTGTATAAATTGAGGTGAGGAGAAGGGGTTTGAGACAAGAAATTGCAGTGTGTAATCTGAGAGGGCAGTGAGAAACAAGTGTGAATGAGAGTGCTATAGAGAGTGTTTGTGAGGTGTGAGTTGTAATATCCCTCCGGGAAATTCTATAGTGGATAGCTCTCCGTGGACGTAGGCAATTGCCGAACCACATAAATATTTTTGTGTTACTATGTGTGATTGATTTCTGGTGTCTCACAGTCCCAACAAGTGGTATCAGAGCCGAATCAATTGCGTTTCGGAAAAATAGAGTGCGTTTTTTCGAAACTGCTAGAAATCAAGTTGCTCAAAATCAGGTTTTGTGCATACCAGGAGTAAGGGCT